TTTCTCTGCTCTCTGTAGGAGAGTACACATCTACTCTCGCTGCTGCTTGGACCCACCACTCCAACTGCAGCAGCGCGAGGACAGACTGCTGTGTATATCAGAGTTTCCAAAAGCAAAACGGCTCACGTCCGCTTTTGTTTACTAACAAAGGAAAACACCACGGACTTCTTCGAGCGTATTTGCCCCATCCATGTGCTCAAAAACATCTGCGTTCCTAAGAATGATATGTGAACAAAACCTGGCCACGTGGGGGCGGCTCGACGCTACCAAGAGCGAACCGGTCCAGGCCAGATGTGAAAACACTTTAAGAGTCCAAATCCTGTTGTCTTCTGCATCCCACTCCTCTGGCTAACTTTTACTTCCTGAAACAAGAGCGCAAGAGCTTTTTTTCCCACAGAGATTGACTCACATTTTAAAAACGAGTGAACTTGAAGGAATTTGTTATTATTTTACCAAAATAGCCAACTAATGTGGTGTTAAGATTTCAAATGTTTGCCTGAAATATTTGCTGGATTGAACTCGTTCTGAGCAACACTGCTGCTAGCTCACCAGACCTGCAGGACAGAAACTGCTTCTCTAAACGAGATCGTTCAGGAATAAGATGCTCATTATTAAAACATTTAAATAGGAACACACTTCAGTGGGGCAAAAAAATCCCCTTTAAACGAATGAATGATTCTGCAAAGAGACGAAATGAAATGAATAATGATATTTGACAGTATTTCTGCTACAGCTGTCCTCGCTCCCCATCTACCCACTGGCTGTTCAGGATTCCTATTGAGTAATCATCGTACGTTCACTCAGACTCACTGATACCCCGTGCTTCCTCCTCTCTGTGGGCCAAACCGCACACACACACACACACACACACACACACACACACACACACACACACACACACACACACACACTCACACTCACACACAAGCATCTCACATATTCTTCCACCCACTCCTAGGTTCACACTAGAAGCGTCACACTTTCAGACCATGTACATCTGTTTGATGCAGAAGGAGCAGTGGTATAGGTAGGCTGCAGTGTCGCATTCCAGCATGAGAGCCCGGTCTTCTGGGAAGTGGTTACACACACTTCACTTGCCGTGGTTTGATGTATGACTCAAACATGTGTGTGTTCAGCTGTGCGATGTGCTGTAGGTGGAGCATCACTGGAAAAGCTTGTGTTTATGTTGGACTTTTTTTCTCAGAGGAGGAGTTCGGATTCAGTGAAAATACTTTGTGGAAGTTGACGTTTGGATTTGCATGGTGAAGGGTTAACGTTTGCTGTCCTTCTTTTGCTCCGTTTGATCGTTTTTTTTAATATATATATATATATTTTTTTCCCTATAATATGCCTTTCTAGCAGGAGAAGTGAGGTGTGTTTGTGTGTGTTTGGTATCCAGCTGGAGAGGCACAACCAGAGAAAGACAGGAGAAGGTGAGGGCTGCTGGCCGGCCGTGGAGATGTCCGTTCCCACAGTGCTGTTCTACTCTGGCGTTGTGGATAACGTGGCTTTTATCTACAGCGTTGCCTTTAGTCTCTTGAGCCTGAAGGCATCTTTTCACTCGGTTTTTCCGGCTGGCTGCCGCTGTGTTGATGAGAAAACACTGATTTCATGTTTCCAGCCCGTTTATGTTCTCTGGTTCTTTTCCTGTTGCTCAGTCTACAGGTTGATCACTCAACCCCACCCCTTGTTCGTTTTGTTGTTCTTTTCCTCATCACTCTCTCTCTCTCTCACTCTCTCTCTCTCTCTCTCTCTCTCTCCCTCTCTCTCTCTCTCTCTCTCACTCTCTCTCTCTCTCTCTCTCTCCCTCTCTCTCTCACTCTCTCTCTCTCTCTCTCTCTCCCTCTCTCTCTCACTCTCTCTCTCTCTCACTCTCTCTCTCTCTCTCCCTCTCTCTCTCTCTCCCTCTCACTCTCTCTCTCTCTCACTCTCTCTCTCTCTCTCTCTCTCTCTCCTCTCTCTCTCTCCCTCCACTCTCTCTCTCTCTCTCCCTCTCTCTCTCTCTCTCTCTCACTCTCTCTCTCTCTCTCTCTCTCTCCCTCTCTCTCTCACTCTCTCTCTCTCTCACTCTCTCTCTCTCTCTCTCCTCTCTCTCTCTCTCCCTCTCTCTCTCTCTCTCTCTCTCTCTCTCACTCTCTCTCTCTCTCACTCTCTCTCTCTCTCTCTCCCTCTCTCTCTCTCTCTCTCTCACTCTCTCTCTCCCTCTCTCTCTCTCTCTCACTCTCTCTCTCTCTCTCTCTCTCTCTCCCCCTCCCTCCCTCCCCCTGTGTGTTATGTGGGTGTACACCAATAGGCGGGATTTTCTCCACCGGGGCTATGATTGGCTGACAAAGGGCCACTGTGATTGGCCGTGTGCTCCATATAGTGGGAGAGAAATGCAGAGCAGAGGGGAGGGGGGTAAAACTCCAGCAAGCTGGGGTCAGGGCAGAGCCGAGCTGAAGTGCGTGGGTGTTTTTGTTTTGAGATGGCAGGGTTTGACATCAGGAGAGGATCGAGCCAGCTTGTCTGTCGGTGGCACGCTGAGCGCTCAGGCCCTGACTCGAGCGCCGATTCCCGTCTTTCCAAGGCAGCTGCCGTTCTCCTTTTCTATTCCTGCTCTGCCATGTGCAGCGGTGCTTCCCTCTCGTCCTCCCCAGCAGCTCTGGCTGCCCCGGCACCCCAACGCAGCTCAGCACTTGCCATCAGAGCGTGAGCTTCTCTGCAGGGTGGAGGCGCTGCCAGGGCTGCTGGTTCTGCTGCTGAGCAGGAAACAATCCACAACCACGCCAGCTCAGGCGTCAGGGAGCAGCTTTATTTGGTGATGGTAAGTTGCTTCCTCTGACTTTTGCAGATGAATCACCACGGGAAAGTGTTTAGAGAGGCTACAAATGAATGTGTTGGCTGTGCTTTTTCTAGGATTTGGGTAGCTTTTGTGTATCGGGGATCAGCTGGATTGTTGTTTTTAGGAACTTTAGTGAGATGCTGCTGTAATCGACTCCTAGTTGCTACAGATACCTTTACAACACAGTTTGAGCAACTTTGTTTTTGGTTGGTGTTTCTCCACATCGTGGATAAAACAGAAGGTCAAGAATTTGTTTCCTAATGATTTTAGTGAATATAAAACCCCACATTGTGTTTATACATCTTTTTACCTCTTCATTTTCTTAAAATAGAATAAAAATTAGTTGGAATTCTTTTGTTTGTGGATTCATTTCCTGTATTTCCTTGTTTATCTTGCATCTTCATCTGCGTCTGATGCTTTTGTGATGCGTTTGTCACATCTGTGCCAAAGCTGTCAGTCCTGTTTTACAAGCAGTGCTCGTGTTTTCTGTCACTGATGAATAAAACGGGGAAAAATGCTTAAAAATGATTGCGGTTAAAGTCTTACAAATCAGCTTTAGCTGTTGTGCTGCAGCGTAATCTGCGTAAAGCCACAGCTCTGCTTTCCCCTAAAGAGACTTGCTGTCATTGGACGCTTTCTCTGGAGAAGAACAACTGTCCTGCATCAGACATGTCTTGTCTAAGTGAGCACCCCACCCCCCATCACACTTGTCCCCCACTCTCGTTGGAGACTTTTTCATCATCTGCATTGAAAGGGTTAAACCTCCCCTAGCCCTGCTCGACTTCATCAATCACATAACTCTGATATTTGGGACGTTATCTTTTTACAGTTATTTTTATGGCCACCTAATTCTTAAATGGGTCCAGTTTTATGAGACAACTGAGCTTTTAATGACCCATGTTGACTTGATCAAAGGAAAGATTAATGATTATAACAATTCTGTTAGGATCACTCCTTAGGATTTAACTTAGTTGTGCTCCTCTCCGCTGGCTTTGAAGATGTCATCTGACAATCTGGAGTTGTGTGCTTGGGGCCTCCAGCAGCAGTTAGGGTTTTTCCTCCCTAAGTCATCTTTGTTTTGTCTCTCACTCATTTCCTGAGTGTGTGTTTGTGTCGTGCACCTCGTGCTTTCTGACTGAAGCCTGTTTGCTGCCCGGGCCACCATCTGTACTCGCGTCGATAACTTCAGAGCGCCTCGCCTCGCCTCGGCTCACCTGCTGAGAGGACATGTGCTCACTGAAAGGTGGACGCTTCCATCAAAAACTCCCTCGTCAATCCTTTCTGCAAAAGAGGACAGTCGTGTTTGGCAGCTCGTCTGCTGCTCCGTTACGCGTCTTGGACAGAACCGAACACTAATGAGACTAGCTATCATGTGAACCCGCAGAGAACGCTCCCCCCTTTTCTCTTTCCCACCTGCTACACGAGCAGCTCGTCCAGCGGATCTGTGCTGCAGCCTTTCCATCCCCTCATTAGGGCTTTCTGCTCTGAGTGCCATGTGTGTTCAGTTAAATTAAATCCTCTTGCTTTCTACACTTCTTTCTTTCCCTTCTGTGTGTGCGTGTGTGTGTGTGTGCGTGTGTGCGTGTGTGTGTGTGTGTGTGTGTGCGTGTGTGTCTGTGTGTGTGTGTGTCTGTGTCTGTGTGTGTGTGTGTGCGTGTGTGTGTGCGTGTGCGTGTGTGTCTGTGTGTGTGTGTGTCTGTGTGCGTGTGTGTGTGTGTGTGCGTCTGTGTCTGTGTGTGTGTGTGTGTCTGTGTGTCTGTGTGTGTGTGTGTGTGTGTGTGCGTGCGTATGCGTGCGTGTGTGTGCGTGCGCGTGCGTGTGTGTGTGTGTGTGTGTGTGTGTGTGTGTGTGTGTGTGTGTGTGCGTGTGTGCGTGCGTGCGTGCGTGCGTGCGTGTGTGTGTGTGTGTGTGTGTGTGCGTGTGTGCGCGTATTTGTTCATGCATGTGTATGCGTGTGTATGCACTTCTCACTGTGAATTGTTTTTGTGTGTCATAAACTCCACAGGCCTTTGCATCAAAACACACATTAAAACACAAACGTGTAAAATGATGTTTGGCTCAGCCTCTTTCATGCTAAGTGATGTGTTACAGCTAACTTCACCAATAATGAATTGTTACAGTAGAATTAAGAGTGCGATCACTGCTGAAATCTCTTGTTTCCTCTCTTTGTTCTCTTCAGGGCATCTGGCGTATTCCTGTAGATGAGATCGATCGCCCAGGAAGTTTTGCGTCTCATATGAACCGATCTGTTGTCCTCTTGCTGGAGGTGCTGGCTCAACTCAAGGATCACAGCACTCTGCTCAAAGTCTCATTCATGCTGCACAGAAACCCTGACCAGGGAAAGTAGGGAGATCACATGAATGTCGTTCTTCTCTTTTAAGTTGCGTTTGTTTGATGACATCTTCCTATCTCCTTTTTCCTCGAAGGAAGTATTTACGGGATGTCGATCGCCAAGTTTTGGCCAAGAGAGCGTTCTTCCTAACTGTAAAAGTCCTGGAGGACAATCTGAACAGTCTCACAGGGGTAAGGAGGCGCCACCGCCGGGTCGTCTGGCATGCACCCGCTCTGTGCTCTGACAGGTTCTGTTTCCTCTCAGGTGTCGGAGCAGCTTCATAAGGCGCCTGCCCCATTCATGGGGGAGATGACCACCACGGACACGCCCAACAGGCCGGGCTCTGTGGAAAGCAAACATCCACTGCCTAGGAAGCCTGGACTTTCAGAGGGAGCCCCTGACAGTGGGCCCAGGGAAACCCCACAGGTGCAGCCCACCCCTCCACCACCGTCAACAGACAGAGGGAGTAAAATTCAGGAGGGAGGTCCTGGGAAGGTGGAGACTTCTGGAAATGACAAGCACAAAGCAGGGCTACAAGAACCCATGGAGATGGAGCCTGGCCTCTGGAGGAAGCCCTCCACTACCACTGATTCTCAGGGCAACAAATCAGAGACCGAGACCACACCGAGTGGGTCAGAACCCCAGCAGAAAGGGGCTGAGATCAGCCGGACACCAGAGCTGTCTCTAGAGGAGCTGAGCATCAGCTCAAGACAGCAGCAGCTTCAGATCTCTGCTCAGAAAGTCACAGTGGCAGCGAGTGGGACCGATCCGGGGTTACAACGAAAGCCAAACAGGAAAAGGAAACTTCTAGAGGATGTGGAGTCCGGAAAGACCCTGCTGCTCGATGCTTACAGAGTGTGGCAGCAAGGCCAGAAAATCATGACGTACGACCTGGCACGCATCGAGAAGATCATGTCAGAGACTTATATATGTCAGAGACTTATATGCTCATTAAACAGGTAAAGCTCCCACAGACCTGCTGCACCTCCAGGTACTTTTATAAGTTAACTCAAAAAGGGGACTTCCCCCCATTTCTGCACAGCTGCCAGCCCTGTGTGCGATGGTGATTTTACTCTCAACATCCCAACAGAAGCAGGTTTGAATCCGCTGCTACCGATTCATTTTTAATCATCAGCTCTGATTGGCCCTCACACTGCACCTAATTATTGCATCTTTTTAACGTATTTAGGATGGAGTTTTCAGATGTTTTAATATCATGAGGAAATCTTTTAAAAGCATATTTTTGAGGAATTAAAAAAGAATAAGGGGAGAGGAAAATGAGCGAATCCTGAAATGAATCAGAAACTGCAGCACAGTGCCGATGAACCGATGAACCTAAAACCTCATGGGACTTACTTTGTCAGCATGATTCAATCAGCTCGTTAAACCGCTCATTTCTAGATTAAGCAGGGAGGCTTTTGGTCTTTTTTTAAGGTGGCATCAACTATTTTCTCTTGGGCTCCTCGTAGCGAACAAACCAGCCCGTGTTTCTTCTGCAGATACAAGTGATGCAGGTGATGTTTGGATATTTCCCAAAGACCTCTTCCTGTTGCAACAAATGCAAATGCTTTGTGGTTTTACTGGTTTGTGTATTGCACAGCTGCACTTCATTCAACAAATCTCTAACGCTCTCCAACATTATTATATATAATTCTATGTGTCGTAACGCTTTTCCTTTCAACTCTGGATAAATGGATAATTTCCTACACCCAGCAGCCTAGAAGCTGCTTGGTTCTAGCATTAAGAGGTCCAGCTACTCATCATCATGCAAGCGGCTCCTCCACAGCTCACAGCTCAGAGCTTTGTCTCATAAAGAGCTGGTGTGGGAGCTCTTGAGTGTAATCAAACTCTGTGTCTTGAGGACATCGCTGCAGTTATTCTCTAGTTTGACTCACCGAATGTGACTCTCATAAAGGCCCTCTCTTGGCTCGATATGTCAGTGCATTTGTGTCTTCTTGCGTTCAAAATCGCCTGCAGCACCATAAACAGCCTGCAGATATAAAGTACCTTCAAAGTTTTGATTAGGAAAAGGAGAACTGTGAGGATCTAACAAGAACTTTATCATAGTTTCTATTTAAAGTGCAGAATTATTGTGATTGTTAGATAAAAGACAAACTAGCAGAGAATGCTCGTAATGTGGGACTAAAAGCCCTCCTGTGGAGAGTGAGATGAATATTATCAAGCTGTGTGTGTGTGTGTGTGTGTGTGTGTGTGTGTGTGTGTGTGTGTGTGTGTGTGTGTGTGTGTGTGTGTGTGTGTGTGTGTGTGTGTGTGTGTGTGAAGCTGAAGAAGTCTTGCAGAAAAGTAGACATGAAAGCTCTGCAGCACGCAGAACTTTGTGTAACAATCGGACCGATTTAAACATTCCAACGTGAGTGCTGTGGCTCGCTGTGAGGGTCGCTGAGCTTCTGGCTGTAATCTGCAGCCTCATCCCTCCAGCTTCCACAAAGCCATCATCTAAAGAGCAAAGTGATCCGACTCTGTCTCTCTGTTGCCTCTTCCAGGTCGATGAAGATGTAGCTCTGGACCAAGCCGTGAAGTTCTGCCAGATTCAGTTGGCAGCTTCAGCACAAAGACAGGTGGGGCTCTTTACCTCCAGGTTCCTCCTTCCAGCTAATGGTTTAACCTCTGACCTGTTGGAAACGCTACATTTCCAGGTCGATGCAGAATACTTTCCCACATAGAACAGAATGGTGTTTGGGATTTTTGAAACTTTTCAAACAAATCCCCAACAAAAACAAAATGTTCATCATGTTTTTATCTATTTACAATTTCATGTTGGAAATCTTTAAGACTTTTATTTTCATTTGGCTGGTTTACTGAATGTTCCCACAGGTTGTGTCACACATCATGGGATGGCGATAAAGAGTAAAGTCGTGCTGCTTGTGTAGTGAAATGTGCTAAACTGATGACTAATGTGGCAGTTGCAATACTTTAGGGTTGATGTTGCTACAACCTGCCAGTGCTAAATGTAGCCCACAGCATGGTGTGTGTTGTTCCTTCAGCTCTGCTCCGTTCCAGCCTCCATGCTCCTCTAAGTCCTGTTTTACTTTAAGCCAGAATGACAGAAGAAGAAATGACATCATCTTAATGTAGTAAATTAATTTCATTTACTCCAGTAACGTTATCCCACGTTTATTCTCCAGGATTCACGCTCCCCATCCAATCATTAGTTGTTCTGCATCATTCTGAGCCCCCTCATCCCTCCTTCTGCCCACACAGTCATCAAGGGTCTCTCTGCCCACATCCCGTTGTCACGGTGACGTTCCCCGAATCTCAAGCTTCACGAGAAGTAGATGTTGGCAAAATAAATGTTTTTCCAGTTAAAGTAATCTAGCCATCTTGTTTTTCTGGGAGATTAATTTTCTTTAAGACTTTTGCTTCAGTCTCATCTTCCTGAAGCAGATGTGTGGACACCACTGAAATTATCTTTAAAGAAAACAGTTTTTACCTTTTGTAAGAACTGTTTTGAATGGTTTTGAAATAATTTGCATGTGAAACAGTCTTACAACTTATGAAAACCCCAAATTCAAAATCTCAGACAACTAGAATATAATGAAAAGGTTCAATATTCTAGACTGAAAGTGTCACACTCTAATCAGCTGATGAAAGCACCACCAAAGGGTTCCTGAACCTTTAGATAGTCTCTCAGTCTACGGTGGATTACTGAAATGATTCTAAGTTTTGGAGGTTGACCCGTGAGAGCAGAGAAGACCTGCTACGGAAGCCTGGATGTCCAAACAAAGTAGTTTTTTCAGACATTTTATGTCTTTGAAATAGAACTGGATGTCTCATCGTAGACCATATGAGGGTCATAAGATTATGGAGGCACGTTTATCACACACCATTTATGTCTGACACCACCAGTGTGTTTTGCTCTTATTCTGCCATCTTTCTTTGCACTTCTCAACTACATGATCATTCAGAAGGCTTGACAAAATAAAAGCATGCTTACAACGCAACGTAATTAAAAATGTTTTGTCTTGTTGCATTTTACTTGTGTGTGTGTTGATTAATCACACACTCCAGTCGCTAAAACAGACGCACCGAAGAAAAAAGATTATTGCTTGTCTTCATCTGTTTCTGAAAGATAGGTGCTTTGTTTTATGTCTGTTGTGAGATAGATGATGATGTGATGGTCGACTTGTTAGACGTGAGGCTCATTATCCTTCGCTATGTGGCTGTTACTGTTCCTGCACGGGGGGAATGTGTTCTCACACGACTGCTCCTTCTGTAGTATTATCTAACAGCTGTTAGTGTGTTATTATTCTGCCACCAGAGCTGCAGCTCTTTTATGTAGTTGGTTATTTGGATCTCGGCTGGAAGACGAGGAACGATTCTTGCCTGCTTCCTACAGATTTACACGTTTCCTTCAAGCCCCCACAAGTGCGTGGAGGAGCTCTGTCCTTATAGGGCTGAGCTGGAACATCAGCTCGTGTGTGTGTGTGTGTGTGTGTGTGTGTGTGTGTGTGTGTGTGTGTGTGTGTGTGTGTGTGTGTGTGTGTGTGTGTGTGTGTGTGTGTGTGTGTGTGTGTGTGTGTGTGTGTGTGTGTGTGTGTGTGCGCGTGCACGTGTGTGTGCGTGTGTGCGCGCGTGCGTGCGTGCGTGCACTCCTTCCATATCAGGAGGAAAACATTCCTCTAGAACCGCCGCTGTTTTCCAACAGGCTCCTTTCTTTCTTAAAGAGATTCATGTCGGAGCTCCACTGATTATTTATCTGAAGCTGTTAGATGAAAAGTTTGTTTGGTTTTTGATCTACAGCTGACTGACACACGACCAGCGACAGAAACCCACATGTTGACTCAGAGTGCTCTAAATGTTCTCAGCTACGGTGTTCCTGTGGCTCAGCTGACTTGGTGGTTTCTTAGCTGCTGATGTTTAATTCATCATGTGTGGATCATCAGAGGCGCTGCGTGCGTAACACAGCCGAGCCATTCTGTGCGGGGCTGAAGGGTCTGCTCCTGTTTGATGCTGCTAGGGTAAATTTGCCTGTGCACTGCCGATGAGACTCCTGCGGGGACCTTTGTCCCACTGAGCCGTGGTTCGGAGCGTAGTTTGGCTTTAACTTCCAGCTGACTGCTGGGGAAAATGGCCAAATGATCTCGTGCATGCAGCATTTGTCAAGACTTGTTTATGGAGACAGTGGCTACATGGATCTAGGGTAGAACATCTTCATTTCATTATTTATTTACATTTAGCCTTGAAACCTACAATTTCTGTTTCACTGTGATTAATTTCCTCATTTTCCCCGTCTTGTGAAAGAGGCTCAGGCATCATTTTAAATTGAAAACTAGGAAAGGTTTGTTCGTTTCTTTTCAACTGTGTCCCTCTGGGTTACCATGACTACGGCTGTGGAAGCAGACTAGCTGTTGTCACAGGTTGCTTGTGCAGCTCTTGTGTTCATAAGTGGTCCACAGAAGGATGTAGTGTTGTGTGGAGCTGGGCTTTTCACATTGTCCAGCGTGCAGGGACGGTGTCCTCCGAGCCCCCGGGGGACGCGGTGACACAGTGCAGCTCTAGGGGAAGCTACATCCTGCTGATGTGTGATGTTTTCTAAGGGGAGGAGGATTTCTCTAAAACAAACCAGAGCCCTGTGTGGGGAGCGTCTCAGAGGAACTGCTGTGGTTTTACACACTCTCAAACACTCTTGTTTTTGCCTCCAGCAGTCAACCGGCGATGCCCCAACCACACCAAAGTACACCAAGGAGCAGCGGGACATCTTCTTCCCCACCTCCCTGCCAACGCCCGTCCTGCTCAGTCACTCCGCCTGCCCGCCGCCGCTCCCCCAGGACAGCCAAGCCAAAGTGTCGTGTGAGCCCTTGAGCAAAATGTCCCGACCTCAGGCCTCAGGCTTCCACGATCAGCCGCAGCACAAAAGAGCAGGCGGCCAGTCTGCTGCAGCCGTGGCCTTCCTAGCACACACAGGTACTCGCACCTCTTCAGCAGAGGGCTGCACAGAAACGGGTTTCACACGTCAACCAAAACGACCCCATTTTTATTGAAATTCAAACACTTTTCATGATAGAAGCCGCTGTGTTCAGTCAACATCTGACCAGCAGAGGGCGCCTGTGGTCTAACCCAGATTATGTTGCATAACAGCACTCTCCGTGCTGTTTGTAGAGGTGTGAATCTTCACTTGTCTCCCGATTCGATTCGATTACGATTATTGGGTCAACGATTCAATTCGATTCGATATCCCGATGCATCACGATTATTTCATATTGATTTGTTTTCATCGATAAATAGAAGATGTCAAATAATTGCTTTTTATTTTTTTTATCTAAAACGTAATTGACACAACCTGCCATCCCTCAAAATCTCTCCACCCACAACAGGTCAGGACAAAACATTTTAAACATTTAAGAAGATTTAACAAAGTAAAACATCTGTTTCCTCGTTCAACACCACGCCTCAGGCTGAGAAAAACACGCTTTGCCAAAACTCACAAAATCTAAAAAAGTACTGAAAACCTACAGGACACATAATGTAATAATAAAATACATAATGGGTTCATATGAGTGTTTAGTGTCTCTGAGCAGCTCTAGAGTCCAATATTTATGCCACAGTTCAAGGATGTCAGAAATAACACCAAATGAAATGTTTGACTTAGTTTGTTATTTTATTTGAACCCAGTGGTTCGTTTCTGAAATGTTGGAGAATGAATCAAGTTCTGTTTGATGCAGAAAATAATAAAACACAAAACAAATTCTACACTTCCAATAATATTTAAGATGTGTGTTTTATTCTTCCTGATAATAACACCAGCAGAAGGCTGTGGGCTGGATTAGGATTAAATTACCCAGCTGATGGATCTCTTTCACTAACCAGCTAACTACAACCCTTTCCACTAACCTGTCCTGTGTGACCCTCACCCTTTAAGCCTCATGTCCATGCTGTCTCTGGAGGAGCAGATAGGAGACAGGATCTCCTGTAACTTAAAATGCACCAAAGCTTCCTCCCAGTTTCTCGTTAAGATGAATTTAACATCAGTTTATCATCATGGAACAAAAGAATAAAGTGGAACAAGAACTTCTATTTCTCTCTCCTTTTAACTTCTCCGTGTCCCTAAATAAAAGAGACAGACGATCACGCTGCAGCCGCCGTCACTGACCCCGCCCCCTCCCAAAGACCGGATCTCCCTACATTACAACACTCGGTCTGACTGAGCGCTTCCAGGAGAAATAATAATTAAATTATGAAAATAATAACGCGTGTTTGGAGCATCGGTTTGGAGGAGCGTCCTCCGATCGTCTCTCTGAGCAGACAGTGTCTCTCTCTCTCTCTCGGTCGCTGATCGAGCGAGCGGAGCGCGCCGCACGACAACCCGCTCAATTAGCATAATTCACGGCCCAAATCCAACAGAACCGGTCGGGCTGATTCGGTTCTGGTTTGGTCTCGGGTGACAACTCTAGCGCTCAGCCCTGCAGTACCACATTAAGGCGGAGGTAAATGTGGAGGACGCTCACTCTGACAGATTTGGATCTGCGCTGGTGCCGCCATTAAAAAAACAAAACTACATTCCACTATAATCGATTATGGCGCACTCTTCTACGATGCAGAATCGTTTATGTCCGCATCCCGATGCATCGATTATTTGATTATTTTCCTCAGCTCTAGCTGTTTGTGTTCTGCCTTTCGGGCTTTGCCAGGCCTCCAATGACAGTTTATAAAATAACATCAGTCTCCTGCAGACTGGGCCATTCTTCTGCCTAAATGAGCTTCTGGAGGGATTTTGCCGTGATCTTTACAGAGGTCATCACGGATGTTAAGTTCAGGTTGTCTAATGATGAGCTTTGAAACTTTTTTATTTATTTTTTGTTATTAGATTTAAAACATCTTTACAGCACATTTTCAGATAATCCAGTTGTTTAGTTAGATTTTAAATATTCTAAATATTATTGAATCCCTCTCAGCTGCTACCTATTCAAATCTCAGTTTAGGCCATTAAGTAATAAATGGAGGAAGTCTGTTATTTTCTATATTTCTGAAAATTTTAAATCCTAAATTAAATGCTTAAGGATCAATTTAAGGGCAAAAATATAATAATTATTGTTTCATACATACACACATGTCAGTAAATCAAGCATTACTTCCTTATCTTTATATTATCTGATTCCCAAATGTGGATGACCTTTGCCATCGATGCTAATGCACACAGATGTTTCTATCAACATGAAGTTACATGCAACAGTCTCAAGTTTCCACGCAGAAGCATCTCAACAATGTGAATTATGTAATGGTTACCTAGGCAACGTCACAGGAGAAGCCTGAAAGAGTGGTAGATCAGTTGTTTCTGACAAGACTGGAGAGGAGTTGTTGTAGCCGACATCACTACAGAGCTGTCTCGGTTGGAAAATGACTTTTTCATTCTTTTTGGGGAACAAATGCCAGCGTACGGTTTTACTGCATTCATGTAATGTGACCTTTTAAAGAACGTGTGTCTGTTTAGCCCCTCCCACTTTGGGAAAAGAACATTTTGTTTAGTTTATGAGTAAACTTTCCTGGGTTCTTGCCCATTTCTGACCTATTTTTGTCATTGAATAGCAATTTAAGTGAAACTTGAAGTTAGTTTTCTGTTTGTAGATTTGCGGCAGAGGCTTTTGTTTGTCGTGTGACTTTGCTAGATGTTTATGTGTTACCCCGTCCCACAGGAGAGCGGGACGAACCCTCAGAGGGGCTTTTGTATCGTCAGCAGGAGTCGCACCTTTGCCAACAGATGAAACTCGCCAGTGTGTCGCAGGGGTGGGACCCGTCATCTGGCTGGTTCCAGGAGGAACCTGCAGCATGTAGCACCACACAAGTTTGTCCAGGTCAGAGCAAACCTACAGCAGGATGGAGAGTAGTTTTCTAATCTCATCTGCGCCGTGCTTTGTAAAAATCCTTCTGGTGTTTCCTCCTCAGACCAGCAGCAGTATGCCAGCACTGATCTGTCAAAGCTTCCAGACCCCAGCAGAATCCGCTCCAGAGTCCCAGCCAGCATGCCAAAGCTTTTCATCCCTTCCACGGTCGCAAAGTTCCCACCAGAGATCACAGTCACGCCTCCGACACCCACACTTCTCTCCCCTAAGGGCAGAATCTCAGAGGAAACCAAACAAAGGCTGAAGGTATGTTCTCTTGGCCTGGCAACTCAGACTAAATAAATATATCATTTAGTCCAGCAACGCTCCGTTGACAGCTCTCTGTCATGGGGTGGGTTCTACCGTTGTCTTTCAAACGATCTCTGCATTCTATTGGACAATGAAAGTGACGTACTCACTGCAACGGATGTGGGTAAACGAGGCAGTCTGCTGTTGAAGAAGCTGAAAACATGTCCTTCTTCTAAATAAAGGACATAAATGCATTTATCTGCTCCTGATTCTAATGAAGCCCAAGTCCAAATAGTCCAAAATTGACATGAATGGGTTTGAAACACCGGTGGAGAGCTGTGATTGGCCAGTCAGAAAGCTGCTGGGGCTGCGGAGGTAGTTCACTAGGCTAGCTCACTCTGGCTCTGAGCGTTAAGCCCTGTGAGGCAGGAACCGCTGAACATTACGTAGACCCGCTGCAGGAAAGTTACACACTTAAGCCTCAGCACAAAGTTTATAGCAGGATAATAACCAAACAGCTATGAACAAATATTCAGTAGGGTTTAGCGTAATTGACCGGAATCATCTGACTCCAACAACTATATTCATGTGTATGATGAGTGGCTAGTGACTCCTGCTGTCTCCCTGTGCAGAACGTCATCCTGTCATCCCAGTCCGCTGCCACCGTGAAAAAGGACACTCTGAGCCAGCCGGCACTGGAGGTGCAAGAGACCTCCAGCCAGGAGTCCTCTCTGGAGAGCGAATCTGAAGAGGAGGAGGATTACATGGACATCTGAGCCTCCGATGGCTTTGTGTACAAACTCAACTCTTAAGTCTCATCTGGGGCTGGCTCTGCCAAACCCAGCTGGGCCGTCTTCTTTTCTTTCTTTTTTTTTAATTATTTTCTTTGCTGCCGCCGCTTTTTTTTTTTTTTTTTTTTTTTTTTGTTAAATGCAGCAACAAAAAAGGACTTCCACTCATAAACATGCAGTATTTTCATCAGCGCCTGGCGGCAGCCATGGTGATTCATGATGATGGCTTCGGTCCAACAGCATGCATGAGGACCGCTGTGTTCTTGCTCATAACACACCAACGTCTTGAGGTCACCTGCTTTTTCCTGAATGTGGCAAAAAAAACAAAAAACAAACATGAAACGAGGGAGAGCGATTTTGCCTTTAATGCCCACCAGCGACATTTGTATGCATCTTTTTGTATGCCGTGTGCTAACTATCTCTGAGCTGCAGCTAAACGCAGGTCTGAGGTGTCAGTCTGGGTGGATGCTCAGCAGCATGCACTTCCTGTCCTCCACCTCTAGCATGAGCTCCTCTCCTCCCAGACACGTTACATTGGTCCATGAGGGGACGAGAACACAGAGGGCTGCGTTCAAGGTTCATCTGTGGAGGTGTTGAGCCACAAAGCCTCGACCTGTAGCAGATTGAAAATGTTTACACACTACATTTGGGATGTTTGTGGGTTTTGGTTGTATTTCTCCTAGTCCTTTATATTGTTCTGTGTTCTGTAGCAAAATAGCAGGGTTTTTTGCCAGGAGGACGTCCTGTCACCAGCAGTGATCCGAGAGATTTCACACCGTAGAGATGAGTTTTTGTACATATCAGAATCCAAACATCTTTCCAGTGTGTTTGGCTTTAATGAGCTGGGCATCAAGCCGGACGAACGTGTGCTTGTGTGAGTTGTTGAACATTAGTGTGAGAGTCACTTTGGTTGCTGTGAGCTCAGGAAACGACGTTCCTGATTCCAGAGGAGTTGGGATGCACGATGATGAGGTTAAGCAGGACTTCCCAATACCGATGCCTTTCCATTCAAGTCATTTCAGTACACCTGTCTGTATTCTCGTCTAACTCAGAGGAAGACGCACAGAATGTTTTTTACCAATTGATTTTTTATATGTATAAATAAAAAGAAAAATACACCGATTGTTTCTTGAAAGCTGTCTGAAATATTTTCTTTTTAAACGACAAACTATTACCCTGGATGTAAAAAGAAGCAGCTTTGCTTTGTTCCAGTAACCGTGTGTGTTTAAGGGTGAAAGGTTGTTTCTGTGTCCTGGTGCGCTTTAGGGAATGGGTTTCAGCATGGCCCAGTTCCCCACCAGTGTGATCTGCTGGCGTGGAACATGTTCTCTGAGTCTCGACTGAATGCTAAAGATGTCAAACCAAATATATAAATATATTTAAAAGAAGGCTGTTTGAGTCTTTGCATCATTTGCTCTAAGTGGAGTACCTTTTGGGGGGAGCTGAGACCGTCTGCAGCTACCTGCACAAACACTTTTCTCCTTTCAGCAGTGTGCTCTGATGTTTTTGCCTCTAGGTGGTTGCAAAATATCTCATGAAGTGCTGAGCGGGTTTTTATAAAATCCCCAGAGCGTTACCACTAGATCTGCAAATGATCAGCTTATTAAGGAGTCGGCGCCATTCAAGTTGGCCCCACCTTTACCTAGCATTAACATCTCTATTTATTTAGCTAAAATTTGGTGTTTGAGAGTCATCACGTGATCTTTAAGTTGAACTTAACCATCTACTGGATTCAATCCTGATTTTATAGCATTTTTAATTTAAAAACTTGTAACATGACTTTCAGAATGTCATAGATATTAAAATCTATTGAATGGACCTGCATGCATGGGAATCAAAAAGCCACAAGGTCCCACATCAGAGTACATTTCATACTCTGAAATGTGACTTGTTTAGAAACGAAACAAGGTTCTGAGGTCTATAGGTACTAAAAACCTCATAAATTAACTAGAATAACAAGATAAAAGGTTTAAACTTTAGGAAGTCGCCTTTAATTCATAATTTATCCGAATTTTGGCTAATTCTGAGAATAAAGTTTAGTAAACAACACATTTTTTCCATATAAAATTAGATAAAACACACAGCAACAAGTTTAAAACGCACAGAGGGATCTAATCCAGTAAAAGGACGTGTATCTGGTGTCACTGAGTGTTCGTGAAACCTCAAACATCTCAATAATTTTTCTATCTAAATGCGATCATCAGTGCACACGTAAACATTTCTCTCTAGCATGTTTGCTTGAGCATCGTTGGCACTGTATCATTATCATTACATAAATAATCTCAGATTATGTGTCCCGAGGTTGGAGCTACCAACGTTTATATAGAAAGTCTCGAAACACTGCTTCTATTTTTAGTTGCACGCATCAATAAAACACACTATCAGGTAAATCTGCATCTCATAAATCAGCAGACACCTGGAGTGTTGGAGACGCTCTGCAGCAATCTGGTCTGGACCACTTCATTTGAATCTAGTGGCAGTGTGGATTCTCCAGAGCTAACCAAGTCAAACTGTCAAACGGATGGAGCCAAAGGAGGCATCCGAACTGGTGAAATGATTATAAATCTGCTCACACTTGTCCGGCTGAGTAGTTTTACGTAAACGAAAAACACAATTTCTTAAAAATATAATTGGATCTCTTTTCCTGTTTGCACTTTGTTGCCACCCAAACGTCTACATTCTGTGGCTCTGCCGGGTTTCTGCCGACAGACCTCCACAACAGCAGCGCTGCATTTGTGGTCAAAGGGCTTGTACACTCAGGTGTGACTTTTCTGACGTGAGAGAAGTCATTAGTCCTCATTAGCAACTTCCAGGAGTTTCTTATGAAGTGCTGTGAAGTTGTCATTTGCCCCCTTTGCCAGGAAAACTCGATCTGGGATTTGTTTTCTTTTTGTGGAGGCCAAATGTGAGCTCGCCGGCCCCTCGTTTGTGCTCGTGGGCTCACCCCGACTGAAGTGGCAGATTTTTCTTTCCGTTTTATTTTAAAATATTGAGAAAGTACAATGTAGTACCTTGTAGTACCTCCACTTCTTTTGCTCAGAGTGAACATTTCTCTCTGTGACAGAACGTGTACCTGATGTCAGGTAACAGCCTCCCTGCTGTCTCTGCAGGCCCGTCAGGCATCAAAAGAAGATGCTGCGTGGCTAATGTGAGTGAAAGGTGTGAGATTTCTCGTCAGCTCACCCCGGGGGCTCTTTATTGGGCTGCCTCAGAGCCGTCTGATCCCAGACCCTGGCTGTATATTGGCAGCTGTTAACCGTCGAGCACATGGAGATGTGCTCCTACAACAAATGGCCAAACTTCAGGAAAACAACCAGAGAGGAGCTATAACATGTCTGAGGAAGATGATGGAGTGGCCTTTTTAGAATTGGAGTATTTTTATTGAGGATGTAGCAAAACTAGAACATGGCTGGTGTCTGTGAGCTTACAGAGGAGTGAAGCCTCAAATAAAATCCACCTCAATGTCTTCTCCAGATAAGGCCTCTGATTCGTCACCCAGTCAAATCTGTCCGCTCTTGGCTTTAGTGCATTGGTCGTGTACCATCACACCTGTCGGACTCAGTTTGCACACCTTTGCGCTGACACTGTCACACTCACTGCTGCAAGTGACCTAAAGTAAACTGATTTCTTTCATTTTCAAAAAGCCACATGACCTCTGACCTGAACAAGGCCGCTTGATGCTCTGACCCAGGAGGACCTATAGCAAGGAGAGCGACGCTGAAACGTGCTCGTAACCACTTGATGACAACTGGTTTGACACATGGATGATAGAAACACACGCTCAAGGCCAAGTTGTCCTGAAGAGTCCCAGGGAGCTGGTTGTGTGTGTGTGTGTGTGTGTGTGTGTGTGTGTGTGTGTGTGTGTGTGTGTGTGTGTGTGTGTGTGTGTGTGCATCAGGTCAGTTAAATGATCAGACATCTTTGAGTGCATCGTTACAACCTGAATGCATCCTTTTTATTTGACATTGATCCAGAGCTTGTCAATATGTCCGCGGGGAGTCTTCTCACCCTGTTTCACTGCCGATTTTACACAAAGGCTAAAGAGCTGCATGCGCAGCACTTAGAAACACACAAAACCACTTCTCAGTGCAGAGGTGTGAGAAAAGCTGCGCCTACAGAGGGCATTGTATGCAACAGACCTGAGATCACCTGTGAAGTGGTCTGTGTGTGTGTGTGTGTGTGTGTGTGCGTGCGTGCGTGCGTGTGTGTGTGTGTGTTGGGGGATGACACATAAGAACTAAAAAAGAAAGGAAGCGTGTTCAGGCTAACAGTGTTTAGTATTTAGCAAGCAGGGAGGGTCAGGCTGACCAGTGTGTGTGTGTGTGTGTGTGGGGGGGGGGGTCTTTATTCCCTGGCCCCTCCTGTCCCATTCAAGCCTGACTTTGGGCTCGTGGTGCTAACTGGTGGTTAATTGCCCACCCTCTCCACATGCAGAAACCATCTTTTTCAAGAGAAACCTGTTTAATGAGATTATCCATCAGAGCACGGGCTTGTCTAGACACCCCAATACACAACCCCCGCCCCCAACCCCCACGCCCTGCTGTCCCCCATGGCCTGAGGATGCCCTGCAGGTAAAACCACCTGCACAAGAAGGGATGTGTGTTATCATCACACCATTATGGGTTTACACCGAGTTTCCCACCCACTAATGGGGAGAGCCCAGAGCACAAAATGTGCAAAGGCAGTCGTTATTTTATGTGAAATTTTACACACTTCCACATGGATTAGTTGGGTTAGAGAGTTTGACACTTCTAATCTGGAGATATTTCATTAAGTTTTTTTCCCTTTAAGAATATAAAACTGAAAACAGCTTCTGCTCCTGTTCTCTCACAGCTGTGCTTGATGGTTTACTGAGCGTTTAACTCATTGCACAAACGTACTAAGTGGCATTTCTGTGGTTGGTTCTGACCCTGTCACCGGTATTTACACAGCTTCTGATGCCGCCACAATCCTGCAGCAGAGAAGTCCGTCCGTATTTGTTTTTAAAGTCTCTTAGCAGTTAATAAAGATGCATTTCCTCCGTCCCCCTTCCTGTGGGGACGGTATCAAGGCTCTGTTAAGTCTCTTTGATTTTTGACCCCCTCCAATCACAGTGGGGCCCTGACTCATCACTGTGTCGCTTCAAAGCCTGAGAATGGCCCTCTTGGCCCCACCTACTGCAGGGTTCCCCTTAAAAGTCATGGTCACCCTCTCCTGCAGCAGCATTTCTCGTCTTCCTGCTGCAAAACGACTGAGCTCTCTGACCTTTAAGGACTGCTGGACCTTTCTTCTTGGCACGAGCCAGGGAGCTGGGGGCATAACAAAGTCACTTTTTGGATTTGGCTAACCTTTGGATCTACTTTAATGCAGAAACCACTACAGATCTGAAGAATGCAGTCCATTAGGGGTGAGTTCTGATGGTCGTTCCCTAAATCCTGCAGAGTTCTCACCCATATTTGTCACATTTTCTTACCGACTTACGTTAACTATATCAAACTCTCATTTTACCAGCATGACAACATGTATGTATTATTGCAGACTTAAAGTCCAACTTCAGTGGTCCTCCTCCCTCCTCCATGGCTGCCGGCCCTGATGCCTACCTCCAAGGCAACATCAGAATGACTCTGGAGGACCTTGACCTTTGGAAAAGCTTCCATCAAACAGGAACAGAGATGATAATCACCAAACCTGGCAGGTTAGACAAAAACACAAGTGATGATCGTTTGTAAAACTGTACACGTTTTGTTGATTCTGTTCACATTTCCTCATAATGGTGTCTGACTTCCAGGAGGATGTTCCCACACTGTAAAGTGATTCTATCTGGTCTGATTCCATGTGCCAAGTACATCTTACTGGTTGACATGGTTCCAGAAGATGGGTTCAGATATAAGGTAGGGCTTATAAATCTCCCCAGACAAGTCACCCCCACCTTGGTTTATCACCCTACTCCTCCTCTGACATCAAAGAACACTATCTCTTCCTGTTTTTTTTATCTCCTGCTGGGAGCTCACTGTACTACCCCCCCCCCCCCATCTCAGTGGGTGGCATAGGCCAGCCGTCACTCTCCAACCCATCGTGGGAAGTTTAGAAAGAGGAAGCTGCACCTTTAAGTCACCATTCTATGCAAAAGATTTACAAGTTATCTCCTCCCTGCAGTGGAACAAGGATAAATGGGAGGTGGCAGGCAAAGCGGAGCCTCAGCCTCCCTGCCGGACCTACCTCCACCCAGACTCTCCAGGCCTGGGGAGCCACTGGATGAAGCAGAGTGTCTCCTTCCTTAAGCTCAAGCTCACTAACAACACCCTGGACCAGCATGGGCATGTAAGTATGAGTACACAGTTAAATAACACACAAGGGCTTTCTGCTTAGCACGCTTTGGCTCCCGTCCCCTCTGCAGATCATTCTGCACTCCATGCATCGCTACCATCCACGCTTCCACGTCATCCAAGCAGACGACCTGTTCAGTGTCCGCTGGAGTGTTTTCCAGACTTTCACCTTCCCAGAGACTTCCTTCATCGCGGTCACAGCCTACCAAAACACCAAGGTTAGTTTCTGCCATAGCAAACCGGCACAACTCCCAGCACCGGGGTTCTCACAGAGACTCTCCTTTTGCAGATTACAAGGCTGAAGATCGATCACAATCCATTTGCGAAGGGTTTCAGAGATGAGGGCACGAGTAAAAAAAGGTAAGTCCAAAGCCATGCTGAAGTTTGCACGGCTGCAGTGACAGATTGTGCTTTTAAGGAAGCTGACTGTTCTCTGCAGACAAGCAAACAAAAGCCCAGATTGCTTTGAGAAAAGAGCCAAGGAACCCAGCGTTGTGGCTGAGGACTCTAAAGAGGACAGTTCACCAGGTACCATTTTAATTCCTCGTTTGTGACAGTCTCTTCTGTTCTGGACTCACGGTGCCACTTGTGTCCTCTCAGGCTTCTGCCAGTCCTCCTACGACAGTTATGACAGAGATGAAGGCGATCTGGCCAAAAGGAAAGACGAAAAGTCTGTGAAGGAAGAGCGTTACTCTCCGTGGGATGCTGAGAGGCAGCAGGGCGTGAGGACCGACTCTCCTGCTGGGGGCGACACCAGAGAGATCTACAACACAGAGCAGCTTGTTCCCACTCCGGCTTCCTATCAGCTGTACAGGTAGATAATGGGACCAATACACAACAAAATAGGAAAATAAATAATGCTGTTTTGTGACTTTGTACTCTCCAGGGCCCATGAGAATGGCAAGTCTCCCTCCCCTCCCTCCAGCATCGCCAGCAACAACAGTGGATCAGGACGGAGCTGCTTCGAGTCCCGGGTTCCTGACATCGCCACCGTCCCCGAACACGACCCTTCAAAACCTCGTGCGCATGAAGCTGGTCCTTCCCACTGTGGCCCCCAGCACCTACCGGGCCCCCAGGACTACAGTGGAGTGCTCAACATGACCATGGCCCAGGCCGGCAAGCCCGGGATCCTCAGCCACCACATCTACAGCCCCTACAGCGCAGAGCAGCCTCTGGGCCAATGGAGCGGACCCGGACCTGCCCAGTACCCTCCTCCTCACCCTCTGACTGCTGACTACACCACACAAGCTGTGCACCATGGCTATCACCATGGCAACGTGGCAGAGTGGAGCCAGTACCCGCTGTTCTCCTACTCCTGCTGGTGATGGAGACTTTCAGCGTTATCGGACTGAGAGACGAGTTTCCCAACGCCGCTGCGCCTGGCAGCGCCCACGGAGGATCCACGCCCCACCCCGGCCAAGGGCCCGGGAACAAGGAGGAGCAGGACCGAAGCTGCCCTGCTCTGGCACCATCCAAACTGTAAACCGAAGTGTGCTTGGCCCTGCTGACAGATTGTCGTATCGTTTATTTATTTAGTGTTTTGTTTAATCTTCAGCATAAATATTATTTTTGTACAGAAATAAATAATAAATAAAGTGTTTGTGTGCCAACTGTGTGTGTCTAAAAACTGGAAATAAAATCCAACTGTAACACGGTTTGATGTCTGGTTTAATCCAAGCTTTGCCTTCAGATCCTTCTAGAGCGGATAAACAACCAGCAACCTGACTCCCGCAGACACATGATGTTTCATTCATTAAATGTTCAATCAATGTTTCATCCTGTCTAAAGTCGTATCCTGAAGGTTTAAGTCAGAGGAAGTCCATCTGCAAGCCTTTTACCTGTGTTTGTTTGTATTTCCACTAATGGAAAGACACACTCTGTGTTTTGGACCAGCCCAGCATGCATTAAAGACTGTATTAGTGCGACTCTGGCTCACCTGCTGAGATTTATCCACCAGCTCATAAAGGCTTTGCCCGACCCTCCTTCTGTATGTCAATGAGCCTTAAAAAGCATGAAAATGGCTCCTTTTCACAGCTAAAAAACACAGGCAGGGCCTATCACTTCCATCCTGAGTGGAGGCGAGCTGCTAATGACTGCTGTAAAATCCAGAGGGGTGGGGGTGGGGTGTGTGTCCCTTTTCAGGAGTTTAGTGTGTGTGTGTGTGTGTGTGTGTGTGTGTGTGTGTGTGTGTGTGTGTGTGTGTGTGTGTGTGTGTGTGTGTGTGTGTTGCATTCATTCAGGTTATCTTTATCTGATTCTGAAATGTGTTAGCTGAAGAAGCAAAAACATAAGACATGTGTAAATGTAGAGTTGGTGGTAGGAGCTGGGGCTGGAGCCGAGTTAAGCCCTTTCCAGTTCCCCTCTCATTGATCACCAAACACACATGTCAGAGGTGAAAGCCTTTAAAATCATGAGAAATGCTTCAGTTCCTTTTGTTTTCTCCACAAACTGAAGAGTTTCAGAATGCCAACGCTTCCTGGCAGGAAGGAGGAGAGAATAAACATTTTTACATACCATTGTTCTAAACTTTTCTCTTTGCATGTGGTTAAACACACAGACATGAATAGTTGTCTATAGTTAAACAGACCCCAGCACCACTGTGATGTGATTTAGTTCACAGAGAGAAGCCAGCAGGCTGATGTCCCGGAGGAGAAGGGCCATCTTTGTTCTCCATTGATTTCCACTGGCCTCCACACCAACACAGCAGGAGAAACGAGAAGTAAAAGCAGATGCTTCCACTGAATTCCCTCCTCTGGGTTTAATCAGCATTGCTCCACACCGATGGCTGATGCGGCCCTTTCTAATTGCTTTGATAATGGCGGAGCAAAGAGCGGTGGATCGACCCGCACTGGCGTGGTTAAGTGGCTGACATATGTTTTTAAGCACTCCCCGGGTGGTGCTTCAGCTTAGGAATAAAGACTGGTGCATAAAAACCAACCAGCCTGTTGATCCTGGAGGTCCAGGGCTGGTGTCAGCACAGCCTACCAGATAACTTACTGGGGGGCTGGCACAATAGTGTGAAAGCAAGAGGAGATCACTTAAAGCCAGCGGGGGTGTTGCAGATGGAGATGAAACAGCCTCAGAGGGGAAAGCCTCAGTCGGCCTTCATAAAGCTGGAGTTTAGAGCCAAATGGAGAGGAACTGGTGGAGACTGGGTGGAATAAAAGGCCCCAGCTAACAGCCTCCACCGTCACGAGGAGGTTTATAAAGCAGCTGGGATGGACAACACAAACAGGAAGTAAAACAAACAAGTCCTTTTAAAGCTTCAACATTCACGTTGTTGGTGCTTCACAACACAAGACATCCACGCCTAAAACCTAAAGTTATCACCCGGTTGTTGGAGGTTTACCAGGAATAAAAGGGTCAGACGGGAGTTTTTATTATTTATTTTATTTATAACAAAACATATCAGACTTACTCCGCGGCGCTCATAAGACGTGTCCTTTCAGAACCAAACATCATAAAACTAAATCCAAATAAGACTTGACTTTGGTCGTTTTAGTGACACAAACAGAAAATGCATAGCGGAGGAGATGCCATCGCTCTTATTGAACACGTTACTGGTGTTGAGTTCAGAGGTCACAGACGGGCTACATGAAACGCTGCAGCCTCACCAGAGCAGAAAATCATTACTTTGACCTGAAGTTAATCAATATATCAGATACACACTTAGGATGTGAGGACAAAACAAGGCACGAGTACTTATTGTGATGAGGATCCTGGCACCACGCCCACACCAGCTGCCTGTTATACTAAAAAACAACTCAGAATACAGTGGGGCAAAAAAGTATTTAGTCAGCCACCGATTGTGCAAGTTCTCCCACTTAAAATGATGACAGAGGTCAGCAATTTTCATCATAGGTACACTTCAACTGTGAGAGACAGAATGTGAAAAAAAAAATCCATGAATTCACATGTCAGGATTTTTAAAGAATTTATTTGTAAATCAGGGTGGAAAATAAGTATTTGGTCACTTCAAACAAGGAAAATCTCTGGCTCTCACAGACCTGTAACGTCTTCTTTAAGAAGCTTTTCTGTCCTCCACTCGTTACCTGTATTAATGGCACCTGTTTGAACACATTATCTGTATAAAAGGCACCTGTCCACAGCCTCAAACAGTCAGACTCCAAACTCCACTATGGCCAAGACCAAAGAGCTTTCGAAGGACACCAGGAAAAGAATTGTAGACCTGCACCAGACTGGGAAGAGTGAATCTACAATAGGCAAGCAGCTTGGTGTGAAAAAATCAACTGTGGGAGCAATTATCAGAAAATGGAAGACATACAAGACCACTGATAATCTCCCTCGATCTGGGGCTCCACGCAAGATCTCGTGCCATGGGGTCAAAATGATCATGAGAACGGTGAGCAAGAATCCCAGAACCACACGGGGGGACCTGGTGAATGACCTGCAGAGAGCTGGGACCACAATAACAAAGGTCACCATCAGTAACACACTACAACGACAGGGAATCAAATCCTGCAGTGCCAGACGTGTTCCGCTGCTGAAGCCAGTGCATGTCCAGGCCCGTCTGAAGTTTGCCAGAGAGCACATGGATGATACAGCAGAGGATTGGGAGAATGTCATGTGGTCAGATGAAACCAAAGTAGAACTTTTTGGTATAAACTCAACTTGTGTTTGGAGGAAGAAGAATACTGAGTTGCATCCCAAGAACACCATACCTACCGTGAAGCATGGGGGTGGGAACATCATGCTTTGGGGCTGTTTTTCTGCTAAGGGGACAGGACGACTGATCCGTGTTAAGGACAGAATGAATGGGGCCATGTATCGTGAGATTCTGAGCCAAAACCTCCTTCCATCAGTGAGAGCTTTGAAGATGAAACGTGGCTGGGTCTTCCAACACGACAATGATCCCAAACACACCGCCCGGGCAACAAAGGAGTGGCTCCGTAAGAAGCATTTGAAAGTCCTGGAGTGGCCTAGCCAGTCTCCAGACCTCAACCCCATAGAAAATCTGTGGAGGGAGTTGAAAGTCCGTGTTGCTCGGCGACAGCCCCAAAACATCACTGCTCTCGAGAAGATCTGCATGGAGGAATGGGCCAAAATACCAGCTACTGTGTGTGCAAACCTGGTAAAGACCTATAGTAATCGTTTGACCTCTGTTATTGCCAACAAAGGTTATGTTACAAAGTATTGAGTTGAATGTTTGTTATTGACCAAATACTTATTTTCCACCCTGATTTACAAATAAATTCTTTAAAAATCCTGCCATGTGAATTCATGGATTTCTTTTCACATTCTGTCTCTCACAGTTGAAGTGTACCTATGATGAAAATTGCTGACCTCTGTCATCATTTTAAGTGGGAGGACTTGCACAATCGGTGGCTGACTAAATACTTTTTTGCCCCACTGTAACTGTCTTCAGAAGAATCTGCCACCCAAAACACAAAGTTTGTGCAGAAACAGAACCTATCACATCTAAACAGAAACAAAGAAGAGTGGTTGGATCTCAGTTGGTGGGGAGTCCTAGGTGAGTGAGCATCTCGTAAAATAACCAAGTGTGCAAAGGTGCTGAGCTGCGATGGGTCAGAGGCACTGGAAGTGGTTACGATAAGGACGACTCAACGCATGGCCACCAACATGAACCCGTGTCAAACTCAAGGTGCTGAATTAAAAATTAAAAAGGCTGTTTCAGTCCTCACTAGAGTCCTCTGAGTTGTCAATGTCTGCATCTTCCCATGTAGCCTTGGTGCGCTGCTCCCAGCTTCTGGCCTGGGCGATCACAGCAGGAGGAACGAGCGCCACGCAGGCGGCCAGGCCAGAGACACGCTCCTTAAACTCAGTCTCGCTCTCCCACTCGTCTGAGTCAGAGTTGTACACGTGAACGTATTTCATCCTGTTGCCTTTGTCATGCGAGCGTCCACCCAGGACGTAGATGCAGCCGTCCAGCACGGCTACGCCGGGTTCTCCATGTCCAGAGGGGAGGGGGCTTATTAAGGACCAGGAGTTGTTTGCGAGGTCAAAACATGCCACCTGTATCGGAAGGAGAACATCCATGACTCTGTGCTTCAAAATGTGCTGCTCTGGATGTGCAACAGTACTCTGTACCTTTAAGACATCACGCCGATATCCACGCTCATCATTGCTACCCCCAATCACATACACACGTCCATTAACAGCAGCCATGCCGTGCCACGCCCGCTCCACCGGTCCCTCCGCACACTCTGTCCACTGACCGGCTGCAGGGTCGAAACAGCACGTCTCTCTGAGGTACGCCATGCCTCGACGCCCACACGTTATATAAACTTTCCCATCTGCCACTGCTCCAGCATGAGCATACACCTAAAAGAGAGTCAGCAGGTGAGAATGTGGCGCCATCATGTGGGCAACAGCAGCAACAGCAGTAGCAGCATACCTCTCTCTTCAGAGGTGACACAAACTCCCACAAGTTGGTGTGCGGGTCGTAGCGCTCCACTGAGTCCAGCTCATTCCTGTAGTCGCGTCCTCCAATGGCATAAATATGGCCGCCCACCACACAGACGCAGTGATCGGCGTGCTGATGTTGGAGAGGCTGGATAGGGCACCACCTGTTGTGACGAGGATCATACCTGAAAGGAACAGACACGAGAGAAAAACTGATTTCATATGGTGAGAAGCTACATGACCTTAAATTACCCAAATTACTATTTCAAAGAAGAAAACTCTTAATAAAGATGAAACTTGAAAAATAAGAATATGGTGCAAAAGTCCTTTCATTTCAGTGAACCATCTAAAGGCTCAGGAACCCTCTGTAGGTCCATCCATCCATTTTTATCCGCTTATCCGGAGTCCGGTCGCGGGGGCAGTAGTTTAAGTCGAGGCCCAGACTTCCCTCTCCCCAGTCACTTGGGCCAGCTCCTCCGGGGGAATCCCAAGGCCTTCCCTGGCCAGGTGAGAGACATAGTCCCTCCACCGTGTCCTGGGTCTACCTTTAGGTCTCCTCCCGGTTGGACGTGCTCGGAAAACCTCACCAGGGAGGCATCCAGACCAGATGCCCGAGCCACCTCAACTGGCCCCTTTCGATGTGGAGGAGCAATAAATCCACTCCGAGGCCCTCCTGGATGACCGAGCTTCTCACCCTATCTCTAAGGGAGAGCCCAGCCACTCTTCGGAGAAAACTCATTTCGGCCGCTTGTATCCGCAATCTCGTTCTTTCGGTCACTACCCAAAGCTCGTGACCATAGGTGAGGGTAGGAACGTAGATCAACTGGTAAATCGAGAGCTTCGCCTTCTGACTCAGCTCTCTCTTCACCACGACAGACTGGTACAACGCCCGCATCACTGCAGATGCAGCACCAATCCACCTATCGATCTCACGCTCTAGTTTTCCCTCACTCGTGAACAAGACCCCGAGATACTTAAACTCCTCCACTTGGGGCAGGACCTCATCCCTGACCCGGAGAAGGCATTCTACCCTTTTCCGAATCAAGACCATGGTCTCAGATTTAGAGGAGCTGATTCTCATCCCAGCCGCTCCACCCAGGTGTTTTGATTTGAGTCAAGAATATTAAACCTTTTCATAATATTCTAATTGAGATTTTTAAAGTGGGTTTTTAATATAAGCTGTAAGCCAAAATCATCCCAATTATAACAAATAAAGGCTCAAATATCTGGCTTTGTATCTAATGAGTCTACCTCAGTTTAATCTTTTCACCAGAATTACTCAAACAGATGAACTTTTGCACCATATTTTCGTTTTTTGAGCTTCACCTAGATTTATAAAATCTGCCCTAAACAAATAAATCTGCTGTAGAAAAATCAGGATGTGACAGGGAACCACACCGGCACGTGTGTGTGACTGAAACTGAGGTTGTCGTCTAAAACTCAGAACAGCCCACCGACTAAAATACTCATCCGAGGACTTGTGTGGCGGTGATGGGTAACCATGACAACGTCAACAACAGATCTGAGATGTAAACCACAGCAGTGACAATGTTGTTGTTTTCGTAGCAGCCATAGTTTTCCCATCATGCTTTGGTGTGTATGTGTGTGTGTGTGTATGTGTGTGTGTGAGGGCGACGTTGGTTACAGTTAATGCTGAGTTCTAGAATTCACTCTAGTTCCTCGAGATCAGATCATTTCAACTCTTACGAGCGACTTTGGACAAAATATTTTAGCTAATAAAATAAAACTTCATTATGGTGGGTAACCATGGCAACAGGTTAGTTATTTACAAGTGAGATCAGCTGAATAAGCGGCCTGAGGCACTAACGATGTGTGGAATGTGACGAGGTGAACAGAACAAACAGCAAGGAACCAAATGTTTAAACACTTCTGACGACTGTCATGGAAACTGTGGCAACATGGACACAAAACAAGGATTTCGTTATTCATAAATAAACGCGGCACTAAAGCGACCACAGTGTGAGAGAACTTCACCTCCAGCAGCGATTCTCTGCACGAAACCCGCTGTTGTTCTTATCTCCTCCAATAAGGTAAACAAAATTATTCAGAACAGCGATGCCCTGGTTAGACATCCGGGGAGCATGAGCCGCAGAGAGGGTCCTCCACTCCCTCCAGCTGGGGTGGAACACCTGAAACAGGTGCCTGTTGTCAGTGAGGGAGCTGGAGCTGAACATGCCCCCAAAGCCCAGGATGCAGTGGAAGGTGGACCGCGGCTGTGTGAGCGCGGTCTGCAGGATGGGCTGCCACAGCTCCTGCTCGTGGTACTGCAGCGCGGCTGATACCGAGTCCTTCAGCGGACATGGCTTCAGCCTGCTGTGAAGTCTCTGCAGAACGTGTTTCTCAATCAGGCAAAAACGCACGGCGTCGAGCATCCTGAGGTTGTCCTAGTCAGGAAGACACAAATGGTCGACTGCAGTTTAGACACTTCATTAAAGGACGAAGGGATGTAATCAATAACCAATACCAATAAAGCAAAAGCACACCTTCGGACTGACCTGCAAGTGCACCTGGTCAGTGTCCACTTGCTCAGGACTGTAGTGAAAGTGAAGCGCAGCCTCGTACACTTCGTTCTCACTGGCCACCTCAAGCTCGTCGCTGCTCAGCGCTCTGAAGACGTCATCTTCAGGCAGCTGTCGGTATACGTCCGCCTGAGACAGAGTCTGAATGTTCCCGAGGATGTAGGTGTGAACTCTGGCTTTAAGCTGCTGCAGTCCATAGACATCAGCCAGGTGGTGCACCTCTAATATGTTGCTCTCGTCCAGCCAGGAGAACAGGAAGTCGCAGCAGAAGCCGGTGACACTTTCAAGCTGAGGAACAAAAGAGCAGAGACTTGGTTGAACGATACACAGCAGAAAGACGAGTGACCGGCTCGACCCAGCACACCTGTAACAGCGTAGCAGCTATCAGAACCTCCTGAACACTCTCCAAGTCCAGCTCGATCTCAGAAGTGTAGATGTAGTCCAGGATCTTCTCCATAGCCATGTGGGAAACTCCATGAATTGTAATCTCGTGTTGCTGCATCTCCCTCAGGCCTCCAGCAAACATCCCTCTGTTGGAGTCAAACAGGAAGTCCAGCTGTTTAAGCCACTTAAGACAAGAAGAACTTTCATGTCTCCATGACTAGTTCTGTTACTGCTTCCTTTTCCCTGATTTACACTGAGAATATAGCGACAGCTCACTTTAACTGCTGTTAAACATATTAACTCCAGACTAAAGCTCCAGTTAAATGCACCAATCAGGTCTTATAAATCCCAAGTAAACGTGTATAGTTAAATTACTAATTATTTCTCACATTTAATTCAATTCAATTCAAAAATACTTTATTAATCCCAGAGGGAAATTGATTAAGCAGGCCCTGGAGCAATACCTCCAGCTTCATTAGTAAGAGTGGCCTTCATTAGAACATGAGAGCTTTAGATATATTTTACTACGACCTGAGCCCAGATTCCTCCTCACAGATCTGTTGTTGTTTACTCTTTTGTGACACGTTTTTAGATCAGTAAACACATTTCTGACAGACAACCTGAGAATTCCAACCTGATGCAGGTTCTTGAGAAAAATAAACAACAATGCTTTGTTTTCATACCAGGAGCTGTAGTAATGATAAACTCCCAAAACCTGTGAAAGTTGTTGTTATGGAAAAATTTATGCTTATTAATTCTTGATCATGGACTCAACCAACTGGATGTAATATGTACTGCTGTATGCCTCTCTGCACACACACACACACACACACACACACACACACACACACACACACACACACACACACACACACACACACACACACACACACACACACACACACACTTGTATTCATACACACACGGACTCCCTCTCTAACACAATGACCTCACTCCTCCTTTCTCATCTTCCTCTCTTTAAATAAAGTCTGTGAACAGATGTTCGAGGCATCTACTACAGTTATAACTGCTTGACTTGTCTGCTCATTGTCTCATTCCGTCTTCACTCTAGGAAATGGGTTATTGATAAACATATTGATAAAATCCATGACGTTATTTGGTCCTTCGAGAGCCGGAGTCCCATCACCTCGCGACGCCAAGAGCCGATGCCGGAGGACTGTCGACAACCTAAATCTCCTACAAGGCTGAGTTTGCTGGGGGGTCGGTGAGGCCTTGACGTCATTAGGAGGATTGCGGATCCACAAACTACTCAGGCCCTGAGTGGAGAGAGATTGGGTGAGACAAGTTTGTTGTTGTTTCTTGTCACTGTCTTGTGGTACCGAGAGAAAATCCTAAGTGACCAGGGGTTAAATTCGGGTTTCGAGCATTTTGCCGGAAAATAAAAACGCAAACAGATTCCTGGAATGCTGTTTTGGTAGAGAATGGACCGGGATGATAACTGGTGGCCTGGTTTTTGAGCGTTTAGCCTCCAATACAAACGCAACTTCAGTTGTCATTCTTGGTTGTGTGGTCAGAGAGAAAGATAAACAGATTCCGGAAATACTCTATTGGCTTGGCTTTTGAGCGTTTTTGCCGAAATATAAATACAACCCTGGTGTGATAAAGTTATAAATGAATGGACCGGTGTGGTAGCTGAGAGGTTAAATTTGGTTTTTGAGTGTTTGACCTGAAATATAAATGCAACTCTGTTATGGCCTGGCCTTTCAGCATTTAGCCTTAAACAGAAACGCAACTCTACAGTTATCTGTGTTGTTTGTTTGTCTTAGAGGTTCTAAGTAAACCGGTATAACTATTGAGATTCAAATTATGGTGTTGTCCGCCGTGAATAGGATGGTTTTGACAGGTTCCTTGAATGCTATAAAGTGGTGATGGCTTTGACAGATTCTCTGAACGCTGTCTGTATTTGGCTTGGGATTTTTGAGCGTTTTTGCCTTGAATAGAAACACAACTCTAGTTATCTTGTTGTGTTGGATGTTGTCTGCTTAAATTGTTGCTTGGATAAATGAGAGAGAGTATGGAAAGCTTTGTACGTGTGGTATCTATGTATGGGAAAAAAATAACTCACAAAATACCTTTTGAGTAAATATGGATGAAAGTGTAAACCCAGGAAATGTGGAAAGGATCTGAAATTACCAGAGAAGTGATGGAAAACGTGATTTTGGTGACCGCTGACGTGTCACAAATGTATGCGAGATGTATGCCAGCGAGAAAGTACAAAGCGGTGGAGAGAAACAAAGGGTTGAAACTGTGAGCGGAGAGGAGGCAAGGCCTGCCTGAAAATCAAAACATCCGCAGCTGTGCTCTGAGCTAATAAGGTCTTATCAATTGAGGCCTGAAGGTTATAACTAGAAAATGAAAATGGAAAATATAATTTGAACGGCTTCTCAAAATTGTAATTTACTTATTTGTTCTGTCCACTGAGGTGAACATGTAATAAATTATTTGCATATTAGGTGTTACAAACAATATTTGTTGAAATTTGTTTCATTCACACACAAAGATGAATGAGAATAATTGTTAAATGATTGAGGTTGAAGGTTTCATAATTTGTGCATCAAAAGGTTGGACACGACCCAAATATTTAATTTCTGGTATCTGGTGATTAAAATAATTTGAACTACAAACTGTGTCACTTTTAGTGGCTGAAAGGGAAAGGGTTTTAGTGGAATCCCTCAAGTTTAGACATTAACTGTCTATCAGTACTTGGTAGTAAAATGACTGCCTAAATAAAAGTTGAGAGTGTATATTTTGGTTAAACAGTAATCCCAGACCAAATAAAACTAATGACTATTGTCAAATTGCATTTTTTTTTCTTATTTTTGTTTTTAAAATCTTCGTTTCTGACGTTTAAAACCAAGATAAGGGAGTTCAGCTGATGACAATCACACCCGGCTGGACATGAACTGGTGTGCAGTACCTGTTGAATTCAAAACTGCATTTTGAACACTTTAAAAATATTGTTTGTCATCAATTGAATCTTTCTGGCGTCTGTCAAAATGTAGAGACTTGTTCATATCTTCGATTAGTGGAAACTGTGATCAAAACAAGGGGAGAAATTGTCTGGGAGTAAAATTAAACAACACAGCAGATTAAAGCTGTTGTAGGGAATTTACATTTAAAAAGTTTAAATTGGTTCAATCCTCACAGCTTGGCAACTTTTAAAATGCTTTGACACCGAATTTCCTGTTCCTCTGTGTCTGGTTACCACAGGGTGTCCCTTACATAGGCGTAGCCGTGGCATGTCCCACCGCCACACCACGCCTACAAGATCCCAAGTTTTCTTTTTTGGCGCTGTTTCCCGAAGAAGCACCAGGAACTACTATGTTGTTGCTTGTGATCACAGCCGGCGGGCAGCAAGGAGGAGCAGGCAGGACAAGGTGAAGTTACAGCATAAGTTGCTGAGTTTAAAATAAGAAAGGTAGCAGTGGATATAATGCCTTTTGGTTTACATGTTTTAGCATTAAGATAAATGAGTGTTGACGATCTTGACAGGTTTTCCTCCGGTGCTTATTAAGCCAGGTTTTCCTCCCCCCACCAGGCTAAGCATCACTTAATCATGTAAAATGTATTTATTTTTTCATGTCTGACTTTAACCGCATCTAATACTGTATTACGGCGTGAGCGCAACAACGACAATTTAAGATCGATGTGTGAGCAGCCTGAGGTCGGGTGTTTCATCTGAACCCTTAAAAACTCCAGCAGGCTACGCTGCACTATTGACGTGTTAGCGCGCGGCGCTAACAACTTAGCGACGTGACATGTCTTGGAGAAAGCATAAAAACACGTTGGACGCTTCTTCTGAAGCGGGAAAATAACACCTCTTCTTAAGCAGAGCACGACGTCGCCTCGGCTCGTTCACGGCCGAGCCGGTGTCGGTACAGGATCTGCTCGGATGCAAGATCGGCTCGGGGTCCGTCGACTGCCGATGACGTCAAAGTAGTTGATTGGCTGAACATGAACCTTACGGAATTACGTAATCACGTTACGTTGTTATCACGTTACGTTGGTCCAGGCAAATCTTTCTGTTAGAAAGATGGACAACTTTTACAAAGAAATCCATCATTACCCCTTTGAAAATACACTTTTAGCATAGAGCTGCATGTATATTAGGGCTGAACGATTAACTGCATGTGCAATTAAATTGCGATGTGACAAAAGGAGATTTTTGAATCGCAAAGGCTGCAATTTGGCAGCGAGTGGTTAGCGCAATGCTAATATACGTGGAAAAACCCATAGGAATGCTAATGCTAATATCACCAATTACATTCTTACAAATTATGAATTAGAAACGTGCCAAATGATTACATTTGGAGTCTAATAGAAAGTAAAACTACCATCAATCAAATAAGTACAGACAGGTATTTTAGTAAAGCTAGAAAACTTTTAACTCCAGAGTTTTGGCTAGCAGCTATGAGCGTAACTGAACTACGCTGGACAAGACGTCAAAAACTCTAAACACAAAATACTTCAATAAACGGGACACACTTCTTTCCTGCAAATACAATTTCACAGGTGTTGCTAATACCTATGATTCTTCAAGGGATGTGCTCATCCCCTTTTCCCTAACATATATATATATACTGTATATATATATATAAATCAGAATTATTATCGCGGACGGCCGCCGCCAATTAATTCGCGGATCTCGCAGTAAAAACAGGTTCACTCTGTGTGGATATTTCAGCTCCTTCCCAGTCATGGACCAGGACAAACTTGGTATCGATGGATTCGTGGTAATCTCAGGAATGTGAAGCTGCCACTGTTTTTCGTATAGCATGATGACACTGGTGTTAGAGGACTGTTATTGACTTGGTTAGATATTTTAAGCCTATTTTAAATTTCTTTATATTTGATCTTGAAAACGGACAATCTTATAATTTGGCTGATAATGCAGGGATTATAAAATTTACATTACAATCACAGAGAGAACCTGGTTTATTTCATGTCATATGTATTTAATATATCAATACATATCAGTATCAGCAAAGCTTAACATCATGAACCATGACAGACATGACATGTTGCTGGGGGTGAACGGGCTTTTAGCAAACTGAAACTGGTGAAAAATTATTTGAGATCAACAATGTCCCAGGATAGACTGAACAGCCTAGCTCTTCTTTCTATTGAAAGCCAATTAGCCAAAGGATTGGACTTTAAAGATCTCATAAGTGATTTTGCTAACATGAAGACCCGTCAGTGGGCATTTACTGGAAAATAAATTCCAGGATTTTTGTTTGAACACATTGTTGGCAAATAAAAATAATTATATGAAGTCTGGGCATTTCACTTTTATTATGCTGGCATTTGTATTTGCTCAATATAGAGGTTAAACTAAGATCATATTTATTATCTTGTCTTATAGCATGACAAAAAATGTGTAAGAGAGATATTAAACAATTGAGCATGGGGGCCCACCTAGAAGACTTGTACCTAGGGCCCAGAATTTGGTGCTACGCCCCTGACTAGTTATCTAAATGCTATAACTGTAGTTTTCAGCTCATTTTATATTGTCTTTTATTTTTATCTTTTACACTTTAATAATTTTAAAAAGAATACATAGCTTAATAAAGTTGTCTAAGGAGCTTTGAAAGAAAAGCGTCTGGACTTCTTTGAGTTGCTTGAAGACATTTCACCTCTCATCCGAGAGGCTTCTTCAGTTCTAAGGTCAAATGGTGGAGAGTCCCAGATTTAAACCCAGTTGGAGTTTCCCCCCGAAGAGGGAACAAAAGATCCCCTGATGATCTTCTACATAAACACATGAGCAAAGGTGTGAGGGTGGGTGTGCGTCCTATTCAGTCAGAGTTTCAGGTGAGCTCATTGTGAAACCTGGCCCCACCCTATCATGTGAATTCCTGAGGTCAGATGGCCCAGGATATGTGTGGGCGTTGAGGCATCTGGGAAGGGATCTCAAAACTGGATTATAGATGGCAGACAGTTGATGTTGTAAACCACCGCCTCTGTTCAAAGATGGCTGCTCACAGTGGACATAAATGGCTTCCTTTACTCCTCTTTCAAACCATCTGTCTGCTCTGTCCAAAATGTGAACGTTGGCATCCTCGAAAGAGTGACCTTTGTCCTTTAGATGCAAATGAACTGCTGAGTCCTGTCCCGTGGAGGTGGCTCTTCTATGTTGTGCCATGCGCTTGTGAAGTGGCTGTTTGGTTTCTCTGATGTAGAGGTCTGGGCATTCCTCGCTGCACTGTACAGCATACACCACATTGTTCAGTTTGTGTCTAGGAGTTTTGTCTTTCGGGTGAACCCGTTTCTGTCTGAGTGTGTTGCTGGGTTGGTAAGTAAACCGGATATGTTGTGTTTTGAGAACACCCTCCTGAGTTTCTCTGATACACCGGCTACATAGGGGATGACAAGGTTTTTGCGTCTCTTTCTTATCCTCCCTCGCTGGTGTCTGGTCTTCTTTTCTGTGCATCTTTGCTGACTTTATAAACGACCAATTAGGATAGCCACATGTTTTAAGTGATTCTTTTATATGTGCGTGTTCCTTCTTTTTCCCTTCCGGCTTAGAGGAAACGTGTTCTGCCCAGTGGTGTAAGGTCTTGATTACTCCAAGTTTGTGTTCCAGAGGAACGATGTGAGTCGAAGAGGAGGTACTGGTCTGTGTGTGTGGGCTACCAGTACACTTCAATGTTGAGGTTGCCATTTTCTTCCAAGTGCACAGCGCAGTCCAGGAAAGGCAAGCAACGTCTTCAAGCAACTCAAAGAAGTCCAGACGCTTTTCTTTCAAAGCTCCTTAGACTACAATGACCTGGATGACTGAGAACCTTCACAGACTTAATAAAGTTGATAAAGCTGATTTCATTATGACTTCATCAACGCAGTCTACAGGTTCTGTAAACGTTGTTTGGATGATGTTCTAGTTATCAGCTCATTTCATTTTATCTTATTATCTCTTTATCTTTTACATTGTCATTTCATTTTTAACTTTTAAACTTTAATCATTTTCATATTTACTCATACGGTTTATAGGTTGCTACCTGTTTTGCAGCCTTCTGAGGATCACTGCCTATTTTTGTGATCCTTTCGTTTTGTGTCGATTTTCAGTTATTAATAATTACATTATCTGTTATTGTCTGTCAGTTATATGGGATAACCAAGCATTTTACAGGGAGGAATGTTAGGGAAAAAGTGGATTTCGATGTCATTGCTGCTCCTAAACATAACTGCCTCCTTTTTAAGTGAAAAACACCTGTTGCTTCATTAAAATGCTAGTGTTATCTTTTTACTAGCTTTCTCATCTCCACAGGGAGGACCGACCTTCCTCAGGTCATGCTGTCCTGTGTGTTATGGTTACACTCCCATGAGAAATAGCATGTTGGCTGATTGCATCTGGGTTTGTGTGGGTGAAGAGATGATAGTGTTTTTACTCCTTATGTGAAACAGCTTACCACCTGGTCTTACGGAACAGTTTGGGAATGTGGTGTGATATGTTTTGTGCGTGTGCCTGGTTAATAAATACTCTCGGAGGACGATGGCACGATGAGAGATCCTGTGAACCATGTTTGGGTGTGTATCATTTCATCTCTCCACTTTGCAAAGTAAAATTGAACAATAATATTGCTCTAATCCTCTTTGTGCGTTTGATTTCTCTTAAGGTGAACTGGTTTTAATAAATAAATAACCCAACATATGTTTTCATATGAGGTCAGGCTGATTTGGAAAGCACTTTCCTCTAAATTAAAACTAAATACCTACATTGCCTAAAGCCATTCAGAGCCTTTTAAACCTAAAATGACATCTTAAAATCTTCTGAACGTGTCTGATGTGCTGCAGCTAAAAGCGGAGGATAGAAACTAAATGTGTGTGTGTGTGTGTTTGTCTTTACACAACATCAATATGCTCCATCGAGATGCCATGAGATTTTTGACCTGGACTTTGCACTGAATCATTGTCTTGTGTGGTTTAACTGCCAGAACCGATAAGATTGACTTCATGCATCTTTACAGATATGAAGAGGAATGTTAAAGGTTTCTGATCAGCTTACTTGAGTTATTTTTAAGGCGTAATCGTGAGACACTTAAAACAAAAGTAAAAGCAGCTGTGAGGCCGTTTGAGTTTCACCTGAAATAATCACACGAGGCTGCCAGCACCAGCCGGTGGGCCTGGATGGGTCGACCCTCAACCAGCAGAACCACATCAAACAGGACGCCACCCTGTCTGAGAGTCATCAGGCCGTCCAGCAGGCTGCGGAAATGGGCCGAGCTCCTGAAGAGCTGTCGGCCCGGACGGTGTGAGGAGCCTCTCCCAGTGGGACACAGCCCTCTGTCCTCAGCCATAGCGAGACTCAGACGCTCAGGCGTCCGTATCTTCATGTGTCGAACATCATCCTCACTCGAAGCTCCCTCCGAACAAATTTAAACCACACCAGCACGTATCTAGAAAACAATGAAGTACATCTGAACAGCTAGCAACAGAGTGGTTTGTTTGGTTTTTGTCAATGTGACACTACATCACCGCTGTCTCACAGTTAACGTCAGATTATACAAGTATAACGAGCGCAACAACACAAGTATGTCGTTAATAAAATGCCGTTTTACCGTAAGTGAACCAAACTTCTGGTAGATGTTCACATCATGGTGTTTATGTTATGGTTAGCCTGCTAGCGCTGCTAACGTACTTCAAATCCAACAAACACAAATTGTAAGACTATAAACACACTGAAATGTTGTTCTGTTCGTAAAAAAAATTAAAAGACTCTAAAATAACAGCTTGGTAACACAAAATCTTCTGCGCAGCCAAGAAGTAACCCAATCAAAACAAGTATGTTTACTTTTTAGTATGAGGCGGAGAGCTCAGTCGTGGTTGGTCCATGTTGTCATCTTGTCCCGCCCAGTTTTAGTAATCATACACGTCCTTTACGACGCGAGCACAAAAATAAAATAGATGCCTAAGCTTTATTTCTTAAAACAACGTTTTACTACTTTTACATTTCTGATATATTTTATTATTAACACGAACATAAATGTTAATTCTAAGAACCATACCCTGTAATAAAACACATGAAACACAAGAGGGCGCTGTCTATTGGCGTCTCATGTCCATCCTTCCATCATCCATCCTTCGTAAGCTAATAAAAATAAACTGAAAAAGAAAGAAGAAACGAAAAAAGGAAAATGCGAGATTACAAACAGCTGAAAGTATCAATTTACTTTTTAAAAAGCCATTTCTTTATTTGAAGAAGAGATTGCATCTATTAATGTCTTTAATCTACAATAATTTTACAATGGTCTCTTATACATTATATTTGTGAGTATAGAACCTTAAAAAAACTAAATTGTTTACACATGTCATCTGAAAGCATGTCCCATATTTTCAGAACTCTACACACAAATCCCAAACATACACATTCACAATGGGCAAAAACCTTAAATTCTCCTGCAAAATCAAGCTCAAAGCAATGTAGTATCGTCTCAAAATGGTGTTTAGTTTCCAAATGACACACAAACCATCACACGAGTAGACATTTAATACATTGAAAATTCATCTTTTAACAGGGCTCAACATCATCAATTTCTGTAATCGGTGGGCCAAACAGAGGACAAAGTAAGCTTGGGACATCAGCGCTCCAGCTGTGACAGGTGGCCTGCACCTCACCTTTTTCTGGTAAAGAACATTTCACTGGCCTTTACAACACATAAAAATCACCCAACTCTAAAATATGTCTTTATAAACAGGTCATGTGTGCAAGAAGAGAATGTTTCATCTGCTTAGCAGCAGAGATAAAGTCAGGAACAAACGCTCATAAAGGAGCAGGATCACCAGGCTGCATCTACTTTAGTAGCTGCTCTGTGGTTCATCAGCTGAAAGGATGGTGGTAGGTGACAGACACGTGTGACCATGACATGTGCTGTTTTTCTGGGGCCGTTTAGTGATTGTGCAGTAGAGCAATCCTTTTTCTTCTAAAGTCCTGTGACACAACAACTTGCTGCTGCTGCTGTTTGATGAAGCCTGCCAACTAAGACAGCAGCCAGTAGGCGATGCATCGCTTTCCTCAAGTAATAAGCAGTGTAGGATCATTTACACCTGCATAAGACAGATGTCACCAACCGTTTGTTATCATTGTGATTCATTTTGTGAGAATTTACATTTAGAAACAATCATTTGAGGAACAAAAATGCATATTTTAGTTTGTGTTCAGTAAGAAAACACGTGACGTCTACTGTTTGTCAGCTAAAGCAGCGATTCCTTCTTCTTTCACCAGAGGTCAGAGTCTTCTTCAGAAAAAGAAGGGACATTTCCATCCTGACCACCAGGACGGATGTGAGGAAAATAAACTAATGGTGATAAAATGTTTAAATCTACACACAAGTGCTTTTCACACGTGTGGATGAATTGTTGCTTAGTGTTAATAATAAGAGGAAATCATGGGAGTAAAACAGAATATTCTCATAAAATTTGGCGGTAATCCTGCAGTTTCTTGCAGAAACAGACTAAGGAATGATCACTTTTTCACACACGGTGGGCACGCATCAGGTGTTTCCCAGAGAGAGGATTACACAAGACGTGATAGCAGCAGCTAGCTGGGCGACAGCAGTCTGTGACAAATGCCTTTAGCCATCAGTGTTGCTCCAACATCATACTTTATAGCTTTAATTTAACTGGCAAAATAATCATGTTGCATTGCTCTCATTAAAGATGCTTCAGATTTATATTTGATGCACAATCTAATCTATTCATTCCTGGTCCTGCAGGGCCTCTGCCCTGCATGTTTTAGCTGTTTCCCTACTCCAACACACCTGATTAAATGATTCAATCACCTCTTCAGGATGCCCGGCAGTTCTTCATAAGTCTGTCAATCACCTGTGGATTCAGACCAGGTGTTTTGGTGCAGGGAAACATGGAACACTTGCAGGAAGTGGCCCTCCAGGAATAAGATTAGGTAGCTCTGCTCTAATCCCACTTGCTACAATAGATTAAATAAACAGGACTGATTGAGGATTACATTTGAGAGATGAGCTGAGGTCAGGATGATTATATTTGTCATGTGTAAATGATTTAAAAGTAAACAAGCCTCTTCCAGCTCCATTAAATTCACTTTTCACCTTATGATGCTTAGCTGTGGGCCAGTTTGGGGCGTGACATCTACCATCCTGCTCTCAGTGACAGCATATGTGTAATGTGAGTCATGAGGTGGGAAACACGGAGCTATATGGCTGTGGTGCACACAGACGTGTTCAAAGCTGGGATTAAAACCGTTGGTTAAGAAAACAGGAAGGACATACTGATCGTTCATCATAATCAAAGTAGAAGGGTCAGGGAGAACCGAGCACTCTGACTGATTCAACCTTTCAGTCCTTTAATGCAATTGCTTTGTAACAAATTATAATATTAGAGTCGTGGTTTATTTAGTCCTTCCTTTTTTTATAAAGTATCTTTATTATGTGTCTTCGTTTCCAGAAATAACAAGAAACTGCCTTCAGTGGAGTCTAAAGTAGCACTGTGATGCTTGAGCCATTTTCACACATCTGCTGCAGGCGTGAAGTTTTCCAGAGATGTTCCAAAGAGGTGGCACGTGAGAGAGCAAATAACTACAGAGAGCTTCCAATTACCTTCACAGTGATATCTGTGGAAGATCACAGAGGGAAACAATGGAGCTTTGTTGTGCTAGTGTGCTATCAGTGTACAATAACCACCAGAAGACGCTAAACGTAGAAGTAAGAGTCTTCTTGTTGGTAACAATTATTGCTTTTAAATTTAAATTCAATTAATGTTTTAATGTCAGGTAAGAGACTAGCAGCAACATAAATGATTGGAATGATCTACAAAGTCAGATTTCTCCCATTGCTCTCCTTTTAAAGGTGCAATTTGTAAGAATGTAGCCTGTGGCCAAATGGTGGTATTGCAGGCCAGTTTTTTAAGCAAAAATATTACTCTCTCAATTCCGCTCCATGAGTTTCATGGCTGTTGACATTTACGGATCAACATCAGAAGATCCTAGATGACAAGAAAAGACTAGTCATACACAGTAAGTTGATAAGTAGATAAATAAATTGTCATATCTTGTGTTAGCACTCTTGGGTGCTTTACAGTAGGGAGCACTTACTACACTTATTATGATAGTTTGTCTTTGGAGTTACAAGAAGTGTTGTTGTTTGTCGTCTTGTGGTTAGCTTGCAATCATATTTCTGAATGACTCCTTAAAGGCAGTAAAATACCACGACCACCTCATTAATTTCTTGACTCATACATTTCACTCCAGTAGTTGTTGGTAATTGCCAAAGTAGCTTGAGATATTTTTAGAGCTGACTATTTGCGCCTAAATCACTGTTAGTATTGTTAGCTCAATGTTAGCCTGCTTCACCTGATATTAGAGCAGTGGTGACATTTGCACGGCTCGCAGGCCAGATCAAGCCCGCAAACAGGTTTAATTCGGCCCTCGAGATGATTTTGTAAAGTTTAAAATTGTAAACTATAAAAACAAGCTGCAATTTTTCAATAACAGAAACTGATGTTCCAATTGTGTCCACTTGGTGGCGCAATAGCAATTGTTGTAAGCAAGCTAACTGTTTATAGATCACTTTTTCACACCCGAAGCATCGAAAAATGATGCTGGGTGACCAAACGTTTTTTTTTCTGACGCATTGGGAGGCAACGCGCTGTGCCAGAGTGTCCGTTTCCGACGCCCGTGGTAAAAGGCACATTTCACCGACATTTTACCTCTAACCTCTTTCTATTTAACCTTCCCCTCTATCCCCCATCCTAACCATAACCCTGTTGCTCATTCTAAACTTCCCAATCATGTTGGAGAGGGACGTTACAACAAGGAACAAAGTTTTGAAAGCACAAGAGGGTTAAGGTTAGGATGGGGGTGAGGGAAAAGTGAAATATCAAGAGGGTAAAGGTCATAATTTGGTGAAATCTCCATTTTAATGCAGCAGCCAGAAACCGTCGCTCTGGCACAGCGAGTCGGAAACAAATGCTTGGTCATCCAACCTCATTTTTCGATGCTTCGGGTGTGAAAATGTGCTGTTTTATGCTGGGGCAGAGCAAGAAGGTCAAGCAAGTGCAGCTAGTCTGGATGAGCTACTTTATTTTTCCTGTAATCTGTCAAATACGAGAAAAGTGGACGCAGAGTGTTTCACAAAAAATATCCATCCTCCCATTTATTCACGGAAGGGAATGGGAAAGCTGTATGTCTGGTGTGTTTGCAGCAGGTTGCATTGCTGAAAGAATATAACACTATGTGAGTCTGTATGTCAACATATATGACAACTTTCAAAAACAGCAGAGAAGAGAGAAGGTGAATGAGAAGAAACAGCAGTCTACAGCCGAGACATCAGTGATGCTTCAGTGAAAGCTAGCTATGCCATTGCTAATGAAATTGCAGTGGCTTCAGAACCATTTAGCGAGGCTGAATTTATAAAAACATGCGTGATGAAGGCTGCTGAGACTGTATGCCCTGAAAAGCATCAGGCTTTTGCAAATATCAGCCTGACAAGAAACACAGTTGTTGTCGTCATGATTTCTGGCCAGTTGAAGCAAAGCCTAAAGTAATAAGTAAGTTAATGCATTTTCAGTTGCAATCGATGAAAGCACGGACATTACAGATGTTACACAACAAGTCATTTTCATATGCAGAGTTGATAATACATTGATGGTCACCAAGGAGTTTGTGGAGTTGGTGCCGATGACTGATACAGCGACAGCAGCTGATATTTTCACCACACTCGTTGGCACGCTGGACAGGCTTGGAGTGGACTGGTCCTGCACTTTTAGCCTGGCTTCAGATGGTGAGCTCTCAATGATTAAAAAAACAGGCATTGAAAAAAAGTTCAAA